TCTTTGAAGGAGAGGAAGGAGAGAGGGGTTGAAAATTATTTGAAGAAATAATGTCCAAGATTTTTCCAAACTTGATGAAAACTATAAACTCACAGATCCAAGAAGCTCAATGGATCCCAAGTATAAAAAACATGAAGAAAACTCCACGAAGTCACATCAAAATCAAATTGCTCAATGCCACTGATAAAGAGAAAATCATAAAATCAACCAGAGATAAAGGACACTTAACATACAAAGGAACAAGATAAGGATGACAGATTTCTTTTTGGGAGCAATGCAAGTAAGAAGGTCACATCAATCTAGACTTCTACATCCACCAAAAACATCTTTCCAAAAAAAGTGTGAAATAAAGACTTTTTTAGACATAAAAAGCTGAAAGAATTCATCACCAGCAGACCTGCATTGTTAGAAATGTTGTAGGACATCTAAGGCAGAAGAAACATGGTACCAGATGGAAATACAGTTCTACACAAAGGAACAAAGAACACCAAAAATGGTAAGTACATGTGTATAATGTAAAATTTTTTTATTATTTAAATTTCATCAAAAAATAATGGTCTGTTTAAACAAAAATAATAGCAATGTATTTTAGGATATATAACATATGTAAAAGTAAATGAATGTCAACAATAGCACAAAGTCCAGAAAGGGAAAAAAAGAAGCAAAGCTCTTATAATATACATTAAATGCTATAATGTCATTTGAAGGTAGACTATGATAACTTAAAGATATAAATTATAAACCCTAAAGCAACAACTAAAAGTCATAGCTGATAAGTCAACAAAGAAGATAAAATAAAATCATGCAAAATATTCAGTTAATCCAAAAAGAAGGCAGAAATAGAGAAAAATGGAACAAAATACAGATGAGACAAATAGAAAACAAATAAAATGATAGATTTAAACCTACTCATATCTATAATCACATTAAATGTAAATGGTCTTAACACCCACAGTTAAAAGGCAGAGGTTATCAGAACGGATTAAAAAGGCAAATAGGTTAAAAGTAAAAGAATGAAAAAAGATATAATAATAGTAATCATAAGAAAGCTTAACTTCTGTGCATCAAAGAACAAGACCAACAGAGTGAAAAGACAACCTACATAATAGGAGAAAATATTTGCAAACCATATATCTGATAAGTGGTTAATGTACAGAATATATAAAGACCTCCCACAACTCAGTAACAAAAAAAAACCCAACCTGATTAAAAATGAGCAAAGAACTTGAATAAACATTTCTCCAAAGAACATGTATGAATGGCAAATAAACATGTGAAAAGATGTTCAACATCACTAATCATTAGGGAAATGCAAATTGAAATCCCAATGAGATACTACTACCTTATACCCATTAGGATCGCTACTATCAAACAAAAAAAAAAACCCCCAGGAAAGTAACAAGTGTTGATGAGGATGTAGAAAAATTGGAACCCTTCCTTGTGCACTGCTGGTGCAAATGTAAAATGGGACAACCACTACGGAAAACAGAAGAGTGGCTTCTCAAAAAATTGAACATAGAATTATCATATGATCCAGCAATTCCTTTTCTAGGTATATATCCAAAAGGTCTCAAAGAGATTTTTAGACACCCATGTTCAGAGCAGCATTATTTACAATAGCCAAAAGATGGAAGCAACCTAAGTGTCCACTGACAGATGTTTGGATAAACAAAATCTTATACATATAAAGATAACTGGACATACAAATCTATATACTTACAATGGAATATTAGTCAACCTTAAAAAGTAAGGACATTATGACACATGCTACAACATGGATGAACCTTAAAGACATTAAGAAAAGTGAAGTAAGCCAGTCACAAGAAGACAAATATTGTATGATTTCTCATATATGAGGTACCTAGAGCAGTCAAATTAATAGACAGAAAGTAGAATAGTAATTTCCAGGTGGAAGGGGGAAGGAAGAATGGGGAGTTTGTTTAATGGAAATAAAGATTCAGTTTTGCAAGATGAAAAGAGTTTTGGAGATTAGTTGTACAACAATGGTGCATGTCCTTAATACTACTGAACTGTATATTAAAAATAGTTAATGTGGTAAAATTCATATTATGTATATTTTATCACAATTAAAAATAATAAAAAGGAAGCTAGAGTTGGTATATTAATATTACACAAAGTAGATTTCAGAGCAAATAATATCACCAGAGAGAAACAAGGCTATATTATAACATCTAAGTGGTCAATTCATCAGGAGGAAAAAGCATACCATGTACCTGGGAATATTGACCCGCATGACCCATTCCATGATATATTTCTATAAAATCAGGAGACTTTAAAGAACAAGAAAAAAATATCTCAGGGAATAGAAAACAGGAACATGTAGCATAAAATAGAAAAAAATTAAATTATCATCAGACTTTGATAGTGCCACTTTATGCCAGAAGAAAATAGAGTAAAATGTGTAAGATAATCAAGAAAAGAAAATGTGAGCCAAGATTTTGCATTCAGCAAAAATTTACTCTCAGTTGCAAAGGGTACAGACATATTGCTATCAACATGTGACAATTTAGGGAAACTGGTCCCATAGACCTCCCTGAAGAGTCTATAAGAGAACAAACTCTGAACTATCAAAATAACAAGAAAGATGTTTGTAGGGAGCATTAAGTATATACAGTAGTCCTTCTTATCCACGGGGGACATGTTCCAAGACCCCCAGTGATGCCTGAAACTGAGGATGGTACCAAACCCTGTATATGCTATGGTTTTTCCTATACATACCTATGATAAATTTTAATTCATAAATTAGGCAAGTAGGTGATTAATAACAATAATAAAATAGACCAATTATAATAATACACTGCAATAAAACTTATGTGAATGTGGTCTCTGTCTCAAAATATCTTCTTGTACTGTACTCACCCTTCTTGTGATGACGTAAGATGATAAAATACCTGCGTGATGAGATGCAGTGAAGGGAATGACGTGGGCATCGTGACCACAGTGTTGGGTTACTACTGACTTGCTGACAATACATCAGAAGAAGGATCGTTTGCTTCCAGACCCAGGTTTACCATGGGTAACCAGAACCGTGGAAAGTGAAACTGCAGATAAAAGGGGATGACTGTAATTACTTGTCAACACCAAGACTAAATGAAGTCCAGGAGGGAGAGGAAAGTATTAAATAGCTCTATGCTCTGACAACGTAGATACAGTACAACTATTTTTTTTAATGGTGGTGGAGGGGGAATGGAGAGATCATATACAAAGCATTTCAAAATGTTTTTGGTCATCATAATGATGGTAAGATTGGTATTGTGATTCTGAGGCTGCTGTGTATGAAATATGGGATAAAATAAATAATTGTGGGATATTCTCATTCTATCATTCCGTGTCCTTGAGAATCAGGACTCTTGGCATGAAAGAAAAGAGATACAGATTTAAGAAGTTAATAAAAGCTCTGTAATTCAGTGTTCTCTCTCTCTCTCTTTCCTCTCCTCCCCCTTGTTTTCTGTATTTGACGGTTATATATACATATAGACTATTTTATATATATTTGACTATTTTATATATATTTAACTAATCCTGAGCTCTTTTCCCTAAGGACAACACCAAATGGCTGCCTAACTCACTAAATGTATCTACCATAAAGTGGCTATGGCTGGTAATAGTGTCAGGTGTTATTTTTCCCATGATTGTCAGTATTGTAACAGGAATGTTCTAGACACTCAATGCCCTTGATCTAAGTAATTGCCTTCTGTGGTGGGCATTCATATTGGTCTGTACAACATTCATTCTCCATTGTCAACCAAGTGCCAATTTTATGCTAGCATCAAGTGGTTATGTGCAAGGCACATAGGCTGGGATTCTCCCTCCCTCACCCTCCACCCTTGCTCTCACACACACACTCTCTCTCTCCATGGGCTTTCTTGTATTCACTTCTCCCTGCATGTCTGACTCATTCTTTTTGCCCTGCAGTTCAATTTCATTAGTTTTTTCCATGCATATGGCAGAAAATGCCTTTACCAGAGCTTCCAAATTTACACGTGGCATACAGACTAGCTGTTTCTGAACTACAATTCTAGGATCCTCTGTCCCAGAGGATCCTAGTGGCTCAGCTTTGGTTAGGTGCATTCCCCTGATCCAATCAATTGGATCTAGGAGAGGGCTGTGTAGTACCAACATGACAGGAACTGCTGGAGCCACCCCTATGAGTGGGTAGGCTGGGTATAGCAGTCAGGGAAGTGCAGGGACAGGGCAGACACCCCAAGAAGGTGTCCACTACAAGCCTGACTGTAGTTGACCCATTCAGGATTCCCAAAGCTATATTCCCAGGGTCATGATCTTATCGAGGCCAGGGCCCAGAAGGGTTGCTGACTAACATAGACACTGCAGAAGGACCTCCACATTTAGGTGGACATGTTGGATATCATATCCATCAGTGCCACATTCCAAGTCTTTCCAGCTCTGTTTTCTGGGCAGTTGGATTTTATTTCCTGGCATACCCTGAGGTTGGATGGCACCATGTGAGCAGCTCTGGCCCAATAGGCTGTGAGCATTTAATGACTTATGAGAGGCCTTCCAAGATGGTCCTTTCCCTTTGGCATGAACATTGGCAATGTTTGAGACCATGGTTTTTCCATCATTTGGATCCTGGCATGGATATTACAGTGCAAAGGACCTGTGGTGGATATGTAATATAAGCAGAAATGAGTCATTGAGATTTGGGGCTGTTTGTTAGTGCAGCACGCCTACCTTACTGACAGATACCATGTGAACTGGGCTGGGATCAGCATCATTTCTGGAAAAAAGTCTCTTAAAGTCTCTAATTTATAGTACTAAGTCTGTCACACAGACTCTTCTCCCCTCCTCTGTTCTGAGTCTCCCATGTATTTTTTATCCTTACCTCAGACGTAAAAGTGCTATTTCTTCATAGTGATACCACCAAGGAATAACACATTTGAGGGCTTCTTTCTTGCTTGGATGGGGGTGATGCCTTGTGGTGTGCACACATGGACAGTCTGGTTAGGGGAGTTTGGCATTCAATCCAACTCAAAAAGAGCTGTCCTTTCTTGAGACTTAGCCTGGTTTTTTAGAAGGACAGGGCCCCAAGCAGGGGATACAGCATAACCAGATAAGGCTCCTGATGCTCTCCCTCTTCCTGCAAAAGTCACAGAAGAGAGGTTTAGGAGTCTAGAAAGCCAAGCTAAAAGCCATGGGTGCTCCAGCCCACATGCAGATCCCAAATGTGGGAATGCGATGTGATGATTTTATGAAATATAAAAGTCAAATGAATTTTTCATGAAGGAGTTATCTTCCCAAAATGCAATAATGGAAAATTCCTTTCAAGAACTGGTGTTTAGACCTCACAAAAATGCGCAGCAAATTGCATTGTGATTTATTTGTCAATGTTTTTATAGGTTAGGCGTTACTTTCTACCCCACAGCTGGAGTCAATTTTTAATATTTAAAAGTGGAAAGAAAGCAAAACCTAAACACATCCAGAGCTGTCTGTTTTAGATTGAGCTTTTCCCAAACAGTGCTGTGGAGAACTGAACCCTGAGCGTGGTCGGTCAGCAGCCAGCTGGCACCTTACTTCCCTGCAACATAGAATTAAAGTATCTGGGACTGGGCAGATTACACAGAAGACCTTCTAAATTGTAGCTGGTGGGTCTGGTGTTTATAACCACTTTCAAATGCATGTAGCCTGTCTGCCCTTTTGATTGAAGAAGGAAAGAGTCTTTCTGCTTTTTATTCTGGGTTCCCCTTCACGATCAGAGCTCAAGGTGCCGTGAACGTAATTTTCAAGTCCAGTGGTTTCTGGCCCCCTTTGATGGCTGGGTTAGCAGGGATCCCACAAGACAGTCTCCTTGGTGATTTCCAGGACACCAATCAACTACAGAGAAGCAGCCTGGCCTCTCTAGACTTTTGACTTCTGCGGAGTCTGGGAAACAACTCAGGGCCCATCTTCTTGGGCCTGCAGGTGAAAGCCCGAGGCTGGCCTTGAAGGTGGATTCTCACGGCAAGAATTCAAATCCCAGAAGAACCATTAAAGCCTTAAAGCTTAATCCCATTACTCATTCCCTTGGGCCCAGTCTCCAGGCTCAAAAAGGGGCCTCGTGATATCTGGTGACAAAGAATTCACAAAGCAAACCTGGGTCTGGGCTTCTGGGAACAGCACAGCCTGGTGTTCTCAGAAGCACAGCATTCATACCTCAGCGCATGGCACATCATATTTCAGGCTCAGTTGCAGCCCCCATTGTTGGAGCCTTCAGGCTGGCACTGGTTGCTGTTAAGGCTGCCATGTGTGTGCTTACCAACAAAGGATTCTGTAACACACAACATCTGGAGCGAGGGAAAACAGCCCTAATTGTGACAGGCGTGATCCCTTTGGGTAAGCGTTGATACCCTTCCGATGGAGGGGGTGTTTCTCTTTGCCCTCTCCCTCCTGCTCCCTCCTGATCGTTCCATAGCCAAGGCCCACAGGAGGAGTTGACCCATTTCCAAGTGTGTGCGTTGGTCCAGCTAAATCAGCCAGTGGAGGACTCTTGGGGCTGCTGAAGACAGCCCCCAGTCAGACTTTGAGAAGCACCAACCACTCCACTGAGACAAGTTTTGGGTTACAAGGAGCCCCAGCAAACCATGGAAAGGTCAAATGTGGCAGCATTTTAGACTCAGCTTCAGCTACCATGGCCTTTTCCCAGGAACCATGCTCAGGGTCTTCAATAGGATCACCAGCATCAAGAGAACCCTTCCAATAAATCCCCATTCACAGCATCAACAAATGAAGGGGCTGGGGAAGAACAACGATTATTACCCGTCACAAAAGGATTTCTCGCCTCACAAAAGGATTTGCCATGGATTTCCTTTTAAAGGTGCACACCTGGGGCGCCTGGGTGGCTCAGTTGGTTGGGTGACTGCCTTCAGCTCAGGTCATGATCCTGGAGTCCCGGGATCGAGTCCCACGTCGGGGGTCCCTGCTCAGCAGGGAGTCTGCTTCTCCCTCTGACCCTCCTCCCTCTCATGCTGTCTCTCATTCTCTCTCTCGCAAATAAATAAAATCTTAAAAAAAAAATAAAGGTGCACACCCCAAGAGCACTTATCATCTGATTCGATTTAATGTACAAACCTCCAAGAACACACCCAAGGCATAGAGTCTGGTATATGGGCAATTGGAACTAATGTGCAGTGGATCTGCCCGCCAGCAGGGGGAGCCCTTCCCCTCGTTCAGGCAACCTTCAACAGGTCTCCAAATCATCTACCCAATAAAAAACTCACCAGGGCTTACAGAGCGGAGAGTCACTGTCCAAGAGAACACAGATACCCAGTGGGTCTGTGATTTATCCTGAGGGCAATGGGGAGCCACTGAAGGATTCTCAGAGATCTGTGAAATTGTACTGAGTTATCCTGTCTCTTTTGCTCAATATCTCTGACATCTTTGGGGAACACATTTGCAAGAATGGTGTTTCCTGCATTTTCAACTCCTCTTAAAATGCTTTATGGTGATGACCTATGAATCTTTTTCGGGGACCAAGGGCAGGTTCAAGTTTAAGGGTGTTTCTCAGGAAGCGGAAACCTCTGTTTTGTTTTGTTGGGAGCGAGGGGAAAGATAGGCAAGCTTTAGGGGAATTGGAGGGACGTGGAGGCAGAAATACTATTGTTTTATGCTCCAGTGGCACTCCAAACCTTGAAGCAAGCAGCTTGGCACTGAAAATGGTGCTGTCTGAAAGTTAATGGGCAAGACATTCTGAGAAATGGGTTGCGGAGATAAGCATCAGGAGGAAAGTGCACTGTTTGAAGTTTGCCTGCATCCAGGAAACCAAGAAAAGCAGAGCCACCCATTAGCTGGACTGCAACGCACACACGCACATGCTCATGGAATCCAAACACTGTCCAGAGACAAACATCTCACAGAAGCAAATGAAGAATGACTTTGGAGGGGGAAAAAAAAAAGAGGTGGGGAAATGGTATTTCCTTCCCGTGCTGGGGAACGGTCACCATATTCTTGGAGAGAGACGTGAGTGAGCTCCGGGGGGCAAGAACTGGGCATCGTCCCTTTATTCCTGATGAATGTTGATAATAAAAGCAAATGTCTTGACTTCAGAGAGCTCCAAAAGGCAGAGGCACCCAAGGGGAAGTGATGAAAATGAGAAATGAGTGTTGTCTTGAATACTTTATACCAGAATTAGGCCACTGTGATCTCCCTTCAGAATGAGTGCAATGGCTTTCGCACCTCTGGCCTTGATTACCTCTCCAATTTACCCTCCCTAGTGCTGCCAGGAGGATCTTTCTAAATCGGATCCTGCTTCGAATCCTTCAGTGGCTCCCCACTGCCCTCAGGATAAGGGCCCACCTCAGATTTAAGTGATGAGGCCCTCCACACTCTTGTGGAGGTTACCTCTGAGTCTCATCTCTTGCCCTTTCAGGAGATCTTGTAGCTCCCTGAACAGGCCATGTTTTCAGTGGCATAGGAAAGGTAAATGGTGCTGGGGCATTGTAATGTACCCTGGTCCTTCCTCCTGACATAGGCTAGAAGTTGTCCAGACTCACATCTCTGAGGGGCCCCCACAGACTGGGCACGTGCTCTCTTCTGTTCCCCTTTGCTCTGTTCCCTATAGTTTCCACTCTCCCTCTGGATCTTTGCACACACCCAGGCTCTCTTTTCACACCTCCCACTTCTGTTTTACCCTCCAAATGTTGAATTCAACATTCTTTCATTAGGGAAGCCTTTCCTGCCTCTCCAAGATTCAAAGGGACACCCGTGATATCTCCCTCCCATGTCACCCTGTGTTTATCCCTGCTGTACCTTTTGCACACTGTAATTACCTGATGACCTGTCCATTGTCCCCTCTAGACTGTGAGCTCCACGGAAATGCAAGCTTTCCCCTGCTATGTTCCCATGCCCACTCTGTCATCTTGTAGGAGCTCAAATAATATTTTCTCGGTGAAAACATTTCTTTCCCCCAGACTATCAAAAGACTACCTTGGCTTTTTGGGCCAACTTCCTCTGATCAAATAAGATCTATCATTAATGATGCCACAGTTTGGCCTGTGAGTGGTACATCCATTGACAGATGGATCTGACTGCTCTGTTTGTGCTGTAAGGAATATCCCTCCTTCCTCAAGAGCTCTCTCTTGCAGGCACTTCCCTTACCTTAATATTTTATTATGCAGCCATTTTTCAGGGTTATAGGGGCATCATCTCTGTTTCACCGAATGTCAGAGTTGAGGAGTCAAGGCTAGTGGGGTTTGCTTGGTATTCCAGCAATTAGAAAGCTTTGTTAACAGGCCATGGGGGCTAAGGCTATGTGGTTATGTGCTCTCAACTCTGCTTTTATACAAAAGGACCTGTAAGGAACTAGAAATCAGGAATTGCTAAAACATTTTCCAGGAATATCAGAGCATCATGAAAATAAACGTTCCATTGACTTTCTTACACCCTGCCCATCCATAGGACCTGAGCTCTGCAGGATAGTGAATCACCAGGTCAACGTGTGATCTCATCACTCTGATAGTCTCCTATTGTCTGACTCCTGGAGCGAGAGAAGCTACATATATATTATATAATTATATATTATATATGTGTTTATTATATAATTATATATAATTTTATATATATATATAAAGTAAGAACACAGACTCATGCTCGGCTGCCTGCCACTTGCTGATTCAGCAGACCTTGGGAAAGTCACTTAACTTCTCTGTGCCTCAGTGTCCTCATCTGTAGAATGTGGACAGTAACAGTATCTGTCTATCTCTCAGGGTTGTTGAGAGGAGTAAATGAGCTAATGAGGTGTGTACAACAGTGCCCGACACAAGGTAAGTATCACAATAAATGTGAGCTATAATTAGGATTGTAACAAGAAGGCTGAACAGACTTTCTCTCTTTGAGTTGCCTTAAAGATGCCCACCTCTACTTCCCCTGCTGTGTTGACAACATATCTTGTGTCAGTGCTGTACATTTCATCAGGACGTTGGCTGTTTTACCCCTGGCATGCTGGTTGTAGAAGAGATCTAGAAATGAAGTGGTTTTGCTGGTCTGATCAGGCTGGAGTGAGCTGTGGGAAGAGGCTTTCAGAATGTGGCCCTGTGGTTTCAGGACAAGAGAGCCACGGGCGAGGTCTGTTGCTTCTCAGATCAAGCAATAGAGCATTCTGAGCTCCAGCCAGCCCCAAGGACTTAGTGATCTCAGCTTGGTCCTTGCTGCCAGCTTGAGTCCTCTGTAAACTGGAGCTGGCTGTGCAGATCCCATGCAATCTCCTTAGTGGAGCCAGTTAGATTGGATTCTGGGTGGCAGAGGTCCTTCTGGGAAGGCTCGTGCAAAAGTGTTCCTTCCCACAGGCTGTTTGAAGGCAGATTGGCCCAGGAAGAGATGTTCTTAGAAAAGAACAAAGGAGAGTGGTTTGGAAGGAATTCAGAACCCCTTTTAGAGTCGGCAGGCCCCTTGTGGGAGAACACCAAAATGAGCTTGGACGAAGGTACCTCAGTGGGAAGATGGGAGGAGACACACAGGTTTGGGATCTTCATTGGAGCTAGCCCTAACAGGACTTGTGATGGATTGGATGGGGTGGGGGGAAAGAGAAAGGCTCTAAGGCTTTTTCTTAGAGTGACTGAGTGTCTGCACACCTCCTTTCCAGGCTAAGCTAGGCTGGTTGTGACAGGCCTGCTGGTCCTTCCTCCATCATCTTGCTCATCAAACTCAAACTCCCCTCCCCGGAGGTCAGGACAGTCCCACTGTCCTTTGGAGGAACCAGGGTGATGAGGGGGCACTTCGAAGTACCTTTCCTGGATGAAGTCTGCTTCCATCCAGCAAAATCTCTGGGCATCTAGCTGATTCACCACAAGGGTTGCTGGAATGACATCCATCCCTTGCCAGATGTAGGGCAAAGGCCACTTACAGGAGGGGACCATCAGCTCTTTCTGCCTCCCACAGAGTGTCCTGTGGGGCAGTTTTAGCAATTGGGATAAAGAGGAAAAAGAGTATGATGCTTCCGCCTGAATTACTATCAGAATCACGGCTAAGCCCCGGCTTCGCGGGAGAGGCTCCTGCCTTCACTTAGTCCCATCTCTTCCCTATGTCTGCCCCCTCAACCAGCACCTCAGCAAACCAAGAAGGATACTCTGAAGGTCTAATTTGCAGAAAATCCTTTTGGATCTGAAAAGAGTTAGCTATCTGTTTCTAGAAAGCTCCTACATAATTCTCTCTCTCTCTCTCCCTCTCTCTCTCTCACACACACACACACACACATACACACAAACACACATTTTATTTATAGTCCGGGAAAGACCCATACATTCTGAATATATACTCCACCCTCCCCACAAATTACTGTAAAATTCTAAAAACCTACACATGCTTGTAAATAGATCACCCTTAAATGGAGCAGGATCTCTGAATATCCCATGAGTCATGCAGCTAAAATGTCCCCCAGGGAGCCGGAGTTGGCAGCACACATTTTCCTATAAAAAATTGAGTTCAGAGCTTTCCATGGCACCCAGCTCTATGCCAGGAAGAGCCCATCTGTGTTTAGCCAGGAAGCCATCAGTCAGGAAACGTGCGAAACCAGATGTTATGCCTCTCACCTGGTGGAAAGGCTCCCCGAGGAAGTCACTTAGAGCAGTGAGGACAGAGTCATGCTGCCTGAGTAGAAAGAGCAGTAGACAAGGAACGGGGGCTCGGGTTCCAGTAGAGGCTCTGTCCTCACTGTGTTCCCCTAGGATATGTGCTTACCTTCACTGGGCCTTTGTCACCTTATCTCTGAAAGGAAGGAGATGGACCGGATTAAATTAAAGTGTCCGAGCTGGGTATGTGCTGTGGGAATGAAAAATATTTTTAAAAACCCAAATTCAGCTTCAGTCCTCAAAGAGCATAGAGTCTTGTGGATGGATAACTACGGCACTTCATGGTTAGGACTTGGGGCCCCCAAGAAGGCTGACAGCCACCCTTTCACATTTAAGAGACTGATATTCTTTGTCTCCCTGACTAGAGCAGCCTCCGGATGGGGTGAATGGAAGTCCTAACCCCACAGAAATGTCACGGCCAAGAGAGGAGCCCACCACTGGCCATTGCTAAACCATGGAGCCTTTAAATTCACCCATCCCATCAGATACTAGGAAAGTGCTGATGGGGACAGGAAAGGAGTACAGAAAAGCTCAGATGGGGCCCTGGCCTGAGCTGTCCCCCATTGCTCCTCTCTGTGTCTCAGGCAAGCCAACCAGACCTTAGCAGAGGAGCTGGAAGTGAAGAGAAATCTCCTTAATGAGTTGGTGGGTGTCACTCTGTCTGCTGAAGGGCTACTGGGGGAGGCAGCCAGCCTGGGTTCCGGAAGGTATCTCTAGGCCGTCTGGAGCCTGGTTAGTAGGATAAGCACTGTTTTCCATGGGGCCCCAGGCAGCCTCAGGCTGAAGGGTGCTCTTGGTGGTTCCTACCTGCTGATGCTGGGTCTCACACAAGGCCCTTCTCCCTCCTACTCACCTGCTTCTTCCACATCTGCACACTCAGCAACCATGGCTATCTACTAATTCCCACTTGGAGGAAACAGATGGGGCTTGATAGTCACTGACCGCCAACTCCTTCTGGGCCCACCTTAAAGCCTCTGCACCCTCACTTCTGTCCCTCACCCTGGGCCTAGTGAGGTCTGCCAGCCTCTTTTCCCAGAGGTGTAGCAAGAGCCCTACTCCTTTTTCCTCTCTGGTTTCTACTTCCTTAACCTACCTCTCTCCAAAGGCAGCAGGCCCAGGTCTCTTTTTTCTATTCTTCCAAGCTAAAATGTGTGACTATCACTCACTAACTCCATGACTGGGATTTTTCTAGCTTTTAGGCTGGTTAGTTACCATTTGCTCGCACCCCCAAGCTGGCTCTTCCTTACTCTGAGCCTCAGGGGACTGACCCCCCCCAAGTGGACTACAACTCCCAGAATCCCTTGTAACTGGTTCCGATGGGGTTTAGCCAATGGGAGGCACCCGGAAAGGGTTGGAGGCTGGGAGGAAAGATCGGTCAGGGTATTTCTCACCTGTTCCGTATGCTCTCTCTGCATCGCTCCAGTCTCCGGCTTTTGTTGAGTGCTTCCATGACTCAAGTTTCCACCAGGCAGCCCCTACGGGGTAGTTTCAGTTTTCACTGGGGCACAGTCACACCGTTCCTTCTCTTCCCCCGCCCCCCAGCCCTGGGGTGGTAATGACTTCCCACACTGCTGATCTCTGGGTGCCTCACCGTTCCTGTGTGTTCCCATAACCCTGCCCACGCTTCTGTAATAGTCTCCGAGCCTTCTGGGGGTGAATTCTGTTTCCTGTTGTGACCATACTGACGCAATAGTCCTTCAGTTTTAACTTCAGAGCTTGACTCACTGCACTTTTCAAATTATATAATTTTTCCACCAAGATCACTAGAATGGATGCTTTGCTTTTAACATTACGCCTACTAGAAGTTCGAGAAGAACTCTATAGACAGGTTGAATTCCTTGATAAAGCCAGGAGCCCTGGGAAGAAAAGACACTCTCAGAGACAAGATAAAGAGGTCCACCAGGAAGTTTCTCCCATGACTAATGGGACTCCTGACCCTTATTCCTTGATGAAAAGAAGTGAGGGAGAGTGATCCCAGATCTGCTTATTTTTAAGGAAAAACAAAACAAAACAAAACAGAACCCTGAAAGAATTATGTGCCTGCCACCCAAAATGAACAAATGCTTACTTTTTAAAAATTTACTTCAGATCTTTTTAAAAGATTTACTTACTTATTTTTAGAGGGGGGAGGGGCAGAGGGGAGAGAGAGAATCTAGGACAGACTCCCAGCTGAGCCTGACTCCAGGCTCGATTCCATAGCCCTGAGATCACAACCTGAGCCAAAATCAAGAGTCTGTGGCTTAACTGACTGAGCCACCCAGGCACCCCACTTCAGATCTTTTTAAAAAGAATTGAAGCATTACAGAATTAAAATACTCTGTGCCCTCACACCAGACCTGTTCCCCTCCTTTCCTTCCCAAAGTCATCAGTGATGAGTTCTGTGTGTCCCCTGTCCTTCTCTTTACATTTTCACTATACATTCAGGTATTGATAAACAGTATATAACCTTGTTCCATGCCTTTAAACTTGTATGAAAACTGGTATCATATTCTACATATATTCTGCAACTTGCTTTTATCTCTCAACGTTGTGTTGTCTAGATCTGGCTTTACTGCTACATATAGATGGGATCGATGCATTCTGGTTGCTGTGTAATATTCCATCATATGGATGCTCCATCATTTACTCATTTTATCCAAATTCTCACTGGTGGGCATTTTGTGGTTTCAGGGGTTTTTTGGTTTCTATAGGCAGTGTTTATAAAACAAGTACAAATTTTCTCTCGGATACATTCCAGAAGTGGGGTGTTCGTCCAGTTCAGTTGGGTATGCGTATTTGCAATTTTATTAGAGTTTGCCAAAATTGTTCTCCAAAATGATTTTACCTACCTGGTGAATTCTCCTGTTTCCTTGCATTTTTATCAATACTTGGTATTGTCATAATTTTTCATTTTTTACCAAGCTAAAAACATGAAATTCAATTTTGTTGCTTAGATCGAATATCCCTGTTTATTAGTGAGGCCCAGACATCTTTTCCCATGTATGTTGGATATTCAGTGTTCTTCTGCAAATTGTTGGTTTAAAGTCTTTACTCATTTTGTTATTGTTGGGCTTAAAATTGACTTAAAGGACTTTTTTAATTGACTTAAAGAATTTCTTTATGTATTTCAAATATCAATTTTTTATGACTTGCCTTTTAACTTTTTTTCAGAAGTTTTAAAATTTGACGTTTCCCTTTTTGATTTCTGATTCTCATGTCTTGTAAAATAAACCCTTCCCTACCTCCGCATCATAAAAACATTCCCTCAAGCATTTAGGTCTTTAAACCATCTGGAGTTTATTTTTGGGTGTGGTGTGAGGTAGGAGTCTAATGTAATTTTTTTCCACATAGGAAGCCAGTTGTCCTAACATATTTATTGAATGTCTCATAATTTCTCCACTAATTTATAATGCTTCCTCTATCATAAACTAAAGTCCAATTTATGTTTGATCTATTTCTGGGTTTTCTGTTCTGTTTTATTGACAGATTTATCTATCCATGTTCAACCCCCTCTCATTCACTTCTGTTGAAAATGTTAGACAGAACATAGGCTTCTTACCTCCAGTGCCCATCTCCAACATCTCCCTCCTCAATTTCATCCTGTACTCATCTATTAGATCTCTTTCCAAGAATCATCATCACCTAATTTATTTAGCATCTACTAGGTGCTAGGCACTAACTAGGGTGCTAACTACATGTGTATTTTCCAGTTAATCCCCATGGCCCTATAAGGCAATCCATGTTTGCCAATCAGGACACCGAGGCTCAGAACTTGAGAAACTTGCCCATGTCACACAGCCAGTAAAAGACAAAGCTGTGGCTGGAATCCATGTTTATTTGTCCTCAAAAGTGTTGATGGCCCTCCATTTCCATCTTCTAACCTTCAAGACATCCGTAATCGGGTCCCCATCTGATCTCAGAATCCTTCCATCTGTAAAATGGGGATAATAATCCTCCCTTGCAGGGTTGTCATAAAGATCATGTGAGATTATAATTGTGAAAGCACTTAGCACAATGCCTAGCACATAATAGGTACTCAATAAACATCAGCTAAATTTGAACAAAAAGTAGGCAGCAGTTGCCAAAGTTTAAAGAAAAAAAAAAAAAGAAAGTTTACTCCATCCCATTAACCCTGCTTTAGAATAATCCTGGGTGGGGGGTGGGAGGGAGGTGTTGGGCAAGAGTGGATGGGAGTGAGCAAGTAGGGGTAGAAGACTTTGGATAGCTCCCCCTTCCACTCTGCTTCCTCTGGCTAGGAACTCCCAGGAGCAACAGGAAAACTGACAAGGGGAAGCTGACAAGGATGGTAAACCCTTAGAAATCTTATTTACTCCTGCTGAACCTCAGGGCTGAGGGTCAACAACTGCTCCATAGCTCCGGACTTACACAGTCAACTTGGCTATTGAATGGCTGCTGTGACCCAGGTGTCACATCTCCAGGCACTTAGAGCTGGAGCGGGGCATCTTCCGCCCTCTCCGGGCTGCCTGGGTTCAGACCAGGGCCAGCCATCCCTTCGTGATTCCCATGGCAACAAGGCAACTGTAGGCCTCCATCAGAGGAAGCAGGTGAAACGAGACAGCCTTTCCGGGCAGCTCTCGGACTAATGGGAACCACATTGGCGAAGGAAGCTGATTGACTTGAAACATCCAGCACTAGCACGCAGGCTCCCTTTCATGCTGGAAGATTATGGTCACTTGTAATTTTTCTTGCTAATTGAAGTTTTTGTAGGAAAAGCAAACACATATAGACACATGTATGTGTCTATTTCAGAAGCAGTGGGCTGTACACTTTGGTTATCGGCTTTCTTTGACTCCATCCACTCACATCTGCACTGTGTCATGACAGCTCCAGCTATGGCCCCAGGACACTCCACAGGGGTCAGAATAACAGGAAAACAACAGTGGGGAGGACCGTGCCCTCTCTCCCTTGTTTAACTTGGAAATCCTGCCTGAGTCTTATGAGCCTCAATATGTTGGGCCCTAAAAGAGGTGAAAATTACCTCAGGTTACTGAGAGAGAAACCCAAAAGGGTGGCAGCCTATTTTCCTTTGCTGGTGGTCTGGCCTGGGGTGTTGAGGCAACAACTTATTGCCATGGCTTCCTCTGAATGTGATGGATTTGGAAAGAGCCAGACTTTTTCCTTAAGCAATCCCTATTATTCCCCTAAATCAAGGACCCTGAGCCCCTCATAACCTTTTTACATAATTGAGAGGAAAGAGGAACACTCAGTATGTGTTTAAAATTGCAAGGTTTGAGGGAGAAGCTGTCCAATGGAGGGGGACAAAGGCCCCCCCATTCCCTGCTATGTTGACATGGTAGGACTCGGGTTTCCACCCTGTATCTGCTGTCACACACACCCACACATGCTCTCAAACACACCGCGGTGTTTCTATGCACACCACACTTGCATGGATGTAACCAAGGCTAGGCCAGTTCCAGGGAGTGGAATACCCACTTCTTCTGCATTCATGAAAGCACAACAGAAATACAAGTGAGTGCCAGTAATGGATTTGAAAAACAATTCACTCACAAAGACCATTCTTGATTGTTTGTAACAGATTAATTGTGATGCACTTCAATCCTGATGATGCCACCTCAGAGGCAGGAGATCTGATTCCTACTTCTGGTATCAGACCCTCAGTGACCTTGGATAGAGTACTTCTCTGAATGCTGGTTTCCTCATCTGTGAAAGTGTGAGGTTGGACTGGTGGCCTCTAAGGACATTGGCAGTACTAACATTCTCTAGGTCAAACTTCTTTTGTGCTTTGTGTCGCTGGGCATGCCTAAGGTCCCTGGAAATCAGGACATACCAGAATTTCCAGGCCTCTGACCATTCCTCCTGGGCCCTGTACCCTTTTCCCCAATGAAGTTTCTGCCTAGTTCCTGCCACCTGAGATTAACCAACATGCCCCTGATCTCCCCATCCCTTCCCCTAAAATTCTGCCCTCAGGAAAGGACATGATAATTGTGTGTACATTGGGTATCAATTACTAAAGGAGGAGGAGGAGGTGCCTTTGGGAAGAAGAATTAAGCTGTGAACCAAAGAAGTGAAGCCCTAATTGTGAAATTTTAGCCGGAGAGTTGAAGAGGTGTTTGAGAGTGAGGATCCTAACTATGCAGAGGCTTATCCTATTGCCGATGCCTACAATTCCACCATTAACAAGTGAGTCCTTTTGCTGAAACTATTGAGGGTTATCTTCCACAAAAGAAATGTATTCAAATTTAGGGGCACCCGGGTGGCTCAGTCAGTTAAGCGGCAGCCTTCAGCTCAAGTCATGATCCCAGGGTCCTGGGATCGAGTCCTGCATCAGGCTCCCTGCTAGGCGGGGAGCCTGCTTCTCCCTCTTCCTCTGCCTGCCTCTCTGCCTACTTGTGCTCTCTCTCTCTCTCTGTCAAATAAATAAATAAAATCTTAAAAAAAAAAAAAAGAAATGTATTCCAATTGAGAAGTCATTCAGACCTTGGTGGAAAGGAGTTATTCAGATCCTTTTCTCAGTGCCTTTTTAAATAAAGGAATGGACGTGGGGCAGGATGCTAAAGGACTTAGCAGCTGAGGGA